GTCACAACTTGGATAAAGAAGAAAAAAAAAAAAAAATGGGGAGTGTGTGTGTGTTTGTAACCAAGCAGCTGGATATTAAAAAAATGAGCACAAATGGAGCTTTGTGTAACAGTGTGTCCTCATGTGAGCTCATTTATCCATATAAAGACATAAAGATGACATAACATGGCCTTTATAATATACACACACTGTTCTTGTGACTTAATCCAGTTTAAATTTTGCACATTTTTTTACAATGTGTGCTGTCGGGCACTACAGAGCCATAAACTAAAGGCCACAGAGGATTACACATCTCACACAAATACACCTTGACCGCGGGGGGCACACATGCACCTGTCCAAAACACAACTTTGAATCATACCTGAGAGGCCGTTTCTCTCCGTAGGCGGTGAAGTTCGATTCGCACACAAGGAACAAATCCACGGCCTCTGAGAGCTCATGAAAGCGTGCGTGCAGCAGATCAAACTCGTGGTTGACGTTGATGGCGTTGATCACCCTCCGCGGGGTTTCTCTGGGCGTCAGCCGCTCCTTAGTTGGCAGATTGGAGTGGTACACCATTGTGGGAACCCCGCAGTAAGGTCCGTGCCACCCAGGCCGACAAACGCACTTGACCAGCCGCTTCCCGTTGCCCTTGGCCCGAGCTTTGACCTTTGGCACAATGGTGGGCTGCTGCTGGAGCTCCAGAGGTTTCCGTTGCCCGGCAGCAACAGCCCGACCAACTGCTCCGTTAGCCGCAGACCCCCCTGATTTTCCATAGTACTCTTTAGGAGTAGCTACCTCTGTCCCCTGCCTGAAGCAAAGGGCTCCAGCTTTGGTGCGCACAAAGTAAGGGGTTTTGTCATCTTGAAGCTGGAAAGTGCGAGTATGGAGGTCTCCCATGGATTCTATGGGATCCCTGAAATGATGCTCTTTTCTTGCTGGTTCCTGTGGAGGGTCTAGCCTCTCGGGCTGTGCAGGGTGGGCGGGATTCCACCGCTTTAAGCGGTCCTCAGCTCCAATCTGGATAAAATAGAGTAATGGGAAACAGTTACACAACTCTGCCTTGAAAGAAAAACACCAGCTTTACTCATTATACTCTTCACTGTAAGATTCACATTAAAGCGAAATTGTATTTAACAAACACTTGCGACAAACCCGTGTCCTGTCAGGTACAAGCAGGAGACTAATTAGTTTCTTCTCATTTTGGTGGTTACGCAAATTGTGAAGGGCATCAACGATGACTGTTAGTGTGT